ATTTTACTCTGAGTAAAAACTTAGGACGGCAATCAAGATCCGACATGGTCTGAGCCCGATTTGCCCAACTGTTACCTCTCCCGCCACCTCTGACCTCCTCCTCGCTTGCTCAGCACCAGCTACGCGGTCCTCCTTGCCTCTCCTTGAAGACAGTGGGCACCGTGCTGCCTAGAACCTTTGCCTGGGCCTCTGAGGCCAGGAACACGCTGCCCCAGGGTTCCTCCCTCAAGTCTTTACTGAATTATCCTCTTCCCACTGAGGCCTCCCCCAGCACTCTGTGTAAAATTGCAGCCAACCCCCACCCACCCTGAAGCCCCGCATTCCTGGCACCCCTTGTCATGCTCTATCCTTCTTTTTTCCTGTAATACTTATACATTTTTAACTACTACATAATTTACTAATTTGTTTGTCATATCTCTTGACCCCACTCCCCATCCCAGTTAGAATGTTAGCTTCATGGAGGTAGGGAAGTCTCCTTTGTTTGGCTCATTGATATATCCCAGGGACCATAGAATAGTGTCTGGCACATACGACACACTGCATCCAAATTTGTGAATGAGAGGATGATGAGTGGCCCTGGTTACTAAGAGAACCACTGCCAGGAATGGGGAAGAGGATTTTTAAGAGTACTCACACAAGGTAATTAAGGGGATTTTGTCTAATTATGATACTTAGCGTGGTCTTACTTGGAATGTAGTTTTATTTGTTCATCTCTACATCAATTTTGAAGTCTTTGGGTGCAGAGTAATATTGTATTCATCTTTTTGCCCAACAGTCCTTTGCATATAGTGGGTGTTTGCTGAATGCTTATTGAAACAAGGTTTATGGAAATGAAACAAAACAAAATTGAACAAACTTACCTTGCCTTGCACTTTGTATACATATTTATACATATATATTTAGTCAAATTTAAAAGATAAATATGTATATGTCTCCTAGATATATTTACACAAATCAATTATACTTGATCAGTAAAAATTTTCAGAAGAAACAAAAACCGAAAAAGAGAAGAGAGAGTAACAACTTATAGAGTAGGTAAATTTCTGGCTATTTCCTTCAATAAGCATAGTCCCAGAAGAGAGCAGAGGATGAGAGGGGTGAATTTGTCCTTCTGTCAGGCAATGGCAGTTCCTATGAGCCCTCATGGTGTGAGAATCTTGCTGTGGTAAATGAGATTCTAGTGTTTCAAGATATGCATTTTTCATACAACGTGACATCCTTACATGAGTCTTACTTTATCTAGTGCTCAATCAAAGAAATAGCCATTCATCCCAGTTCTGAAGAATGGTTTCTCTGGGTTTGGCTTCTTCAAAGATGTATTCTTCAACATGGAGCCTTTCTAAAGGATTTTCAAGAGTAATCTTGACTATGCATGATTTTTGCTTTATTTGCTGACCATAGAACCTAATCCTCATGTGACCCTACAGTAGTCTCTAAGCACCATGGTATTCCAAGTAGAGCCACAAAGATGGTTATTCCTTGTTGGAGATTAAATCCTAAGATATATTTAACAAATTGGACTCACTGGTGTTGCAGCAGAGGAAGTAGATGGACATTGTAATAAGGTTCTCTAAATGAATAATGATTTCTTACGATGAAAATGGTGATCTGCTGCTCTCATCTCTGCTTAGGAGAGAAGAGCAGGAAATGGGTTTAAAATATCGCAAGAAGGATGTATTTCAGACACAAGAAAGATTTGCCAGATACTGAGATGGTTTCTTGAGAGAGGTTTTGTGTGGAAACTTTTCTTTTTAACCTCATTCTGTCTGGGGTAGTTTATCACCAGCATTTTTCAAAGAGTGTTCTAGCATTATGCAGGATGCAAGAGGGTTTACTCAAAATAGGGATTCTGTCATCAAATAAATTTCAGATTATTGGAGAAGTGTTGATTTAGACATATGAAGGTGGGTGGATAAATTGTACAGACCTGTAATGGCCCCTTCAGTGTACTATCTAAAAATTGTCTAACTTATCTTATCCCTTCTCTCAAGAATAACACCAGCCATACAAATCTTCACAGAGTTATCCTTTAATAGTACCACCTAAGCAAGGATTTCTTTGGAATTTTTTACTTTAAAGTTATAGAGAGTTTCTAACCAGGCAACAGTAAGTGTAAGAGATCTTGCAAGGAAAGCCATCTGCTCACCTTATTGACTGTTGATTAAAAAAGAGACACAAAAGTAAAAAGGAAGGACAAAAGCACAGAATGAGGCTTTATATCATCTGTGTGACAGTTTACTTTAAAAATGCATCAGTGTCAACATGTTGCCTGAGTGTAAGGTTAACTTTAATGAACACTCTAGGGGTAGGTAGTTGGCTTTTAAAGGACTCTACTCAGGAGTCCATGCTCTTGAGGGGCCTCCACGTGCTCTTTCAATATTGCTGTCAAAATCCATACCAAAGGCTTATTCTTCAGGATGAGGGCTGTTAGAAAATAGTTTTATGCTGGTGAAATAAGTGGTGGCCAATATAGGCGGTTGGCTAGGAAGGTTGTACAGGTACCATCACCATTAAATGAAAAAGGTCTAAGATTGGCAAGCCCAGCAGACTTAAGGAGCTAGAACCTGGGCTCTGTTTGGTCCCATGTCCCCACACTTCGTGAAGGCTCTGAGCCCAACCTGACTAGGAGGTGGGCTGCCCTGCCTCAGAGTATTCTTACATTGTCCTCGGGGCGAGCTTTCCATGCGAGGTTGTATAGGAGAGCCTCAAGACAGTGGGGACTTCCCTGAGCCTACAAGGGTAGATGGTGGAAAATTCTTTTTATACTTGCATGCTAATAAGTGTTTGTACTTCCAGCTGCATTTTATCCAAGACTTGCTGTAGTGTTACATCCCATCTGGCTCTAAACACCAGGCACCACCAGTGTTTACAGAGGACCTGGCAATCTTTAAGCTGCCAAATTGGCTCTGGTTAATTTCCAACATCAGGACTCTGGTATTTGGTATTAAAAAGTGACCCAATGAGAGGAACATTTTTAATGTCAGCCTTCCTGGAATCACTAGAAAATTCTAGTCATTCAAATCTTCACAATTCCTTTTGACATTAGTAACTTTGGCCAGTGGATTCTAATCATCTATACACAGATACTATATATAGACAGACATAAGACTTTATTTAACAAGGGCTTTTTTGGGTAACAATTTAATGCCAAATGTTGATGGAAAACCAGTTTTACTGCTTGCTTTTAGCCAAACACATTTTTTTCTACATCTTGAAGGAATTTTCTAGAAAAAAGTAACTCCCAATTAGTGATCATTGAGCTGAGTTCTTGCTGTGCCTTTACCACATTTTCAAGCTTCGTGTGGATCATATAAAGTTTCCTCTTTCTTGGATACACTTTAAATATTTGGGGTGATACCATTTGATGGAAAGCAATCCCTTTATGGATGTGTCTTCCATGTCTTGATGCATGTGTATGTGAACGTCTGCTGAGCTCATAGAAGTACAGATATTTGGTGCCATTTTTAAACACAAGGCTTCTTTTTCTACCTATTGATAAATTTTATTAGTCAATTACAATTGCCCTTTTAAATGATGGAGGTAGGCTGTTTGAATATACATTCAATTATGGGGGAAGTGGACTGTATGGGGGAAGTGGAAGTGAGTTATCTGTAAAAGTAGCATTTTATACACCTCTTAAAAAGCAAAATAATCCATCACACTTTTATCACCATATGTCTCAGAAGTAGGAAATTGGGTCCTGTTCAAAGAGATGCAACATATTTTGGTTATAGAAGATACTTAGCACTGCTTAAATGCAGCATGGATAACAGAAATCATATCTACTATTAACAGGAGCTCCTCCAGAAGCTGTTTTGCAAGTAAATCTTTCTCTTCTTTTTAGCTGCTAAAATAGAAGCTTACTGGATTTATTGTTACTTTCATATGTCATAAAGTAAGCCAGAAATTTCTCACCATGTTTGTTTGATAAAGTATGATGAACATTTGATTACCTTCAGGAAATGCAGCTCTAAAATACTTGGATCATTACTAAGTGAGGGAAATTGTACATTATATTCGGTTTCTTTTCCTTATTGATTTCAGATTACAGAGCAAAGGTACCATCTTCCAGGTGACGATCAATAGGAAGTGGTAGAAGAATGAGATATTATGTCTCATAATTTTATAAATACACTGATTTTAATCTGCCTTCATCTGTCTATCATTGGTGCCTCTTGGCGGAGAAAGTTTGGCCTTGGAAAAGCAAGTTTTACTTTGGCTGGGAGAAGACTGAGGTGTATAAATCCACTTTTGTCTCCCAGGTATTTAGTTTCTTCATTTAAATTTTTTGTGTGTGTGAGGAATACTGGCTCTGAGCTAACATCCGTTGCCAATCCTCCTCTTTTCGCTGAGGAAGATTAGCTCTGAGCTAACACCTGTGCCCATTTTCCTCTATTTTGTATATGGGGACGCCACCACAACATGGCTTGATGAGTGGTGCATTTGTCTGCGCCAGGGATTCGAACCTGCAAACTCCAGGCCACCAAACAGAGTGTGCGAACTTAACAACTTCGCCACGGGGCTGGGCCCCTGAGTTTCTTCACTTAAATTTTATCAATGAATTTTAGAGCTTATGAAAGTCATAAAATGAATCACCGGCTGGAGCAGGGTAGAGTGTGGCAGCCATGCCGTTGAGGTCCTGAAACAACTATTTTCTGTCCCAGTCAGCTTTGTCCTGTTGCTTTCAGAGGAAAGAAAAAGCAAAATGAGTCATCTGTTCATGTCTGCATTTGAGATAACAATGTGGCCTGTGCTCGTGTCATGGGAGATTTGTCCTGAACCCCTCTGCAGCATGGCATTGTGCCAGTTTAATCCCAAATCAGAGACACAGCTGAATAGAAAATCATTAGGAAAGACGACAGAAGTGATTCAGCTTCTCAGAAGCAGCTTTTAACTTTTCTTAACTTAAGACGGCCCCCAGACTCTCTTGTCTACGTTGCGGTCTGTCTGTGTACGTGTCTGAGTCTGTCTGTATCTGTGTGGTCTCCCTGTTTCATCAGCTGTGCCCCGTGCTCTGGAAGCTGAGCTAGGAGTGAAGAGCTTCCAGGTTACACTTCGGCCCCAGAGCTGGAATTCATCTGCGGTAATCGACAGCATTGAGGAAAACTGCTGCTGTTCCGTGAGCCGCTTGGGCAGACGCGTGTCTGTGCCAATGGCAGCTGAGAGACTCTCTGGGCCTACATCGGTCACCTTGAAGACACTTACAGTGGTGTTAAGAGAAGGTATTTACCTCTTTACAGCTCAGGAGGAGACTTTTCTGCGTCCTCTCAAGCCAGAAAATGAAAAGCAAGCCCAGTAATAGCTGCCATGGGGAGTATATTAATATCTCACCTCTTGTTTGCACAAGTTTGCTAGGAGATAGGATAGGTCAGCTCTCCACACCTTTATTTTAAACTGATCATCCAGTTAAAGCACAAAAAAGTCATTCTCCTGAAGTCACACAGTTGATCATAGGTAGAATGATGTATGCTGTTAGTAGCTGTATTATTAGGTACTTTAATTCCAATCTCTATTTCCTTTCCTCATGTAATTAGGAATAAGTCAATTTCCATTGGACTCTTTTCCTAAAAACGAACTAGTCCCTTTGGAAATTAAAGCACTTCCTTTGGAAAATGTCCCAAAAGTCCATCTTTTTAGTCTCTTGGTCTTTCTGAGTTTCATCTAAACCTATTGGGCTGAAAAAAGCTATACATTGTTTAGCAAATTTTGTCATATCTGTGATCCCCAAGATCCAAAATTGGGCTGTCCTCCCAGTTTTTCTTGTCCTAGAAAATTTAGCTGTGTCCTAGTGAAAAAATGTTTTTCCAACTTCCCAATTTTCTGCTTGGCATATTCACTTGTATTTTGAAGAAATATCTTCTTAAATATTTTAAATCTGAGCTGATTGAAGAGGAGGAAGGATCAATAGTAGTATGGACAATTAAAGTTTAGCTTAAAGAATCATTTGTGAATTTTGTTTTCAAAACTATCTTCATGGAAATTGGACAGTTTGCCCTATCTTAGGTGGGATATTTTTCAAATAAAGAGAAACACAAGCTTGCTTCTTGCCTTTTCAGATCTGCACTCCCCACTAGAAATAGGGAGCGGTGGCCTCCACTGCTCCCCCACCCCCCATGGCCTCATATCAGAGGGTAACAATTTGGATAACACCAACTTTCCGAGCTAGAGGAACCTTTGGATCCCAGTCCCACTGGGCTGAGCTCTGAGCTCTAAGCCTCACTTGTCTCATTTTATAGTTGAAGCACCTTGAAGATGGAAAGGCAGATGTGCCTGCCCAAGGTGACCAATGGTGTATTAGTGGCAGGGGCGTGACTTGAGTCTGTACGGCTGTTCCTGATCTGAGGCTTTACTTTCCACGCATGAGGAACCTCCTCATTGCCTCTAGGTAAAGGTCAACTGCACAGCATGTCATAGAAGACCTTCATGATCTGTCTCCTGCCCACATGTCTAGTCTTATTTTCTGCCATTCTTCCCTTGCACTTCACACTCTAGAAGGACGGAATGGCTCTTAATTACACTGTGTGGCATTGGACACCTACCTGCCTTATACATTCTGTACCTTCTGCCTGGAAATGTTTCTGGAACATTCTGGAACCCCTCCCTCAATGTTTTCTGCCTTATAAGCATTCACTCATTTTTCACATCCAGATTGTCACCTCCACAGGATGCCCTTTCTACCCATTCCCCTTCTCCCACCCAATTTTCTTTCTTGCTCAGAATATTTATTCATTTATTGATTTATTCAACAAATATTTCTGCGCACCCACTAAGTACCAGGCACTGAGCTAAGCACAAAGTATGCACAGTGAGCACAATTGACCAGCTCCTTGCCTTCATGGAGCTTACAGTCTAGTGGAGACGTTACAGACTGTAAGCACATAGATAAATATGCAATTACAACTGGGATGATTGCCATGGAGGGAATAGAGGCTGTGCTTGGAGCCTGAAGAACCCATCCCCGTGTCCCCAGTAGCAGTGAGTGCCTTGGGGATCCTGCCCACTGCAGGGGCTCAGAGAATGAGGAGGGAGGCAGGCTCAGGAGTTGGGCATCTGCTGTCACCTGACACCTGCTTTCTCCCAACCTAGTGGCTGCTGAAGAGCTCAGCATTCTGTTGAGCAAAGGACATACACGTATGGTCACCATAGTGAGGAAGCAGCCTTTGGTCAGGCAAGAAGGGGTGATATTGGGGGTGTGAAGGCAATGCCTCTTTCAGATCCCCAGCTAGGCTGTTCTCTGATAACCTCGATGAGGGGCAGGGAGGAAGCTCATTGGATAACACATGATCCAGGACTATGATTAATGGCCTGGTGTAAGTGCTGTTAATACCTGCACTCGTCTTAGTTCTTAGGATTAATTAATAGGGTGTATTACATGGAAAGTTCTCTATGGTTTTCTTTTTAAACATTTTTTAAAAGAAAAAACAACATCATGCATTAAATACAGTAAAGTCTATTTTAAATAGGCCTCCCTTCAAATGTATCTTATTACATACACACATTGAAATGCAAACTATTTTTATGGTGTCCATTATAACATATTATTAGTAATAAACAGAATTTTTTCCTGGTATTTATAAATGACAGAAAAACTTCACAAATTAATATATACAATATCAGAGAAAGGCGCTTTCTCAGTTTAACGAATTGTAATGATTTCTGATTCAAAAAAACCTCATGGAACAAACACTTGCTTACTGGTTTAATTTGAGAGGTGCTAAGAAACTCCTTGCTCAAATGATTCCCCTCATTGGTGCTCCAAATTTTACCATTCTCATTTAATTTCCTTCATGCTAAGCTGTGCTTCTCCTGGTAGGCTTTGTGTGTGGGTTTGTTTTTTTTTCCAATGCGTTCTATTTCTGAAAGAACAATAATTCTCCAGGATGCCTTAGTGAGCTTGATTCTCTCCAGCTGCTTTGCTCCCTGGAAACGAGTTCCCTGGGGGGACAGGGATTCTGAAAGGAGCCAGACCAAGAAGCAGTGTTGCTATAGGGCCGCCCGGAACAAAGAGTAATGGTCCCTGATCGTGTTGTACAATTATCAGATGTTTCTGGGTGGCAAACGTGTGTCAGGGGGACGTGTGAATATTTTGATGTGCCAGAGGTTTTAGCCTGAGGGCTTTCTCTGATGAATTCAGCACACTGATCAAAAGGTTTACATTGGTCTAATTTAGTCGTTCTTCAATGAGAACTTAAAAATGAAAGAGATGCTTAAATGCTGCCGGAAGTGGAATTAAACCAAAATTAATTAGTCCTTCATTATTGTATTTTTCAGAGACTGCAGCACAAGGAAGTTTTAGTGGGCTTGTTGTTCCTGGTTTTCCCGTTCATTCCAGCCAGCAATCTCTTCTTCAGGGTGGGTTTTGTGGTGGCCAAGAGAGTCCTTTACATGCCTAGGTAATTATTGCTCACGATTTCCTCTTCACGAGACCTGTCCTCTGTCACCAGCATTGATAGTTCCAGAGGGACAGTCCTTGGCGTGTATAACAGTTAGATCCTTTTGGAGCTAAGGTGTTTATTACCTCAGCTCTAAAGACAGCCACAGAGAAGTCTGGAGGAGATCAAGTTTGCACTTTCACTCTAGTTTGCAATGGCTTACCTCCAGGTGAAAGCTCAACAGTTAAATGTGAAATATTGACTGGAGTATATTCAGGATTTTAGCAGCAGTCATTTACCACAATATCTATGTTTTATTAAACATAATGATAGTAATTTTCTAGAAATATTTAATTTGCATAAATTCATTATGTTAAGTAGCATGATTGTAATTAACTTCTTCCTGTCTCCTTCTTTCTTTCTTTACCTCTTTTTTTTGTATTTAATTTAAAAATGGGAAATATGTTAAATGAGTAGTCTGGGGGATCAGAATTGGGCACCCCAAAATGTGTCTCTTTGGCTTGATCATTTTTAACAAAAGACTCTGAAAGAAACTTGGACCTTCCCCCTAACTGCCTAAAAGAATTTAAGGTAGATAGAAGGCCTGTTCCAGGAAGGAGCTATCACCATAGATAACTATAGTGTAATGTAAAATTGGTGATATTTTAAAATAGGTGATATTCTGTGATAGACAGAAGGGCCTGAGCAGGCCCATTTTTATCAAAGTTCTGTCTCTTGGTTCACATTGCCTACATATGGCCCAGCAAACATTTGTTTAACAAATATTTACATTTCCATCTCCATGTAAATTGCCTTCCTCCCCTTTGAAGCCCCAGACCACTACCCCCAACATTCTCCTCTGTCTTTAGCTGAAAATGGTATTTAAGGTGGCGGCTTCTGACATTCTGGCAAGTTAACTCAGTTTTATTTAGTTTCTCCCATGTATACATGTTATTAAACTTTGTTTGATTTTCTCCTGTTATTCTGTTTCATGTCAATTTAATTCTTAGACCTGAGGGTAGAGGAAAGACCTGAGGGCAGAGGAATTTCCTTCCTCCCCTACAGTTGATTTCAGGTGGAGTACACACTAAAAAAATAGTAAGTATGCAGGGAAATATGTTAATTAGCTTGACTGTACTAACCATTTCACTATGTATATGTATATTAAATCATCATGGTTTATATCTTTAAATATATACAATTTTTATTTAAAAATAGATAAATGAAATTTTTTTGATTTTTAATAATTAAAATAAAAATGGGAATAATCTTAAGAAATCTGCTGCTGAGAAAAAATTAGTTTAAAAATTATAAAGGGCAGGCATTCAGACGTGAGAGATTATATAATGCACTTATCTCTGACTATTTGAACTGTGCTAAATCTTGTGTGTTCTCTTGTCTTATTCAAATGTGAGCATTCCAAGGCCATGTCTCTTTTCATATGCCTGGAAATGACCCTGAATCAAGGAATGGAGTCTTTATTCTGCCAATTATTAGTCATGTGTCCTGAAGCAGGACGCGAATCTTTTTTGGGCCAAGTTTTCTCATTTTTCAGAATCAGGGCATTTTATTAAATAATCTCTGAAGTTATCTCATTTTAGAAATGATATATAAAAATGACTATTTTCTGAAAGTCAGTTATCATAAACCAAACTATTATAAACAAATCATTATTTTTTATGATTTTGAGCTAGCAATGAAAGTGATCAAAATCATATATTTCAGTCAGAAATGAATTTCAAAATTGTGGATCACCTGGGCCGGCCCCGTGGCTTAGCGGTTAAGTGCACGTGCTCCGCTGCTGGCGGCCCGGGCTGGGATCCCGGGCGCACACCGACGCACCGCTTCTCCGGCCATGCTGATGCCGCGTCCCACATACAGCAACTAGAAGGATGTGCAGCTATGACATACAACAATCTACTGGGGCTTTGGAGGGAAAAAATAAATAAATAAAATTAAAAAAAAAAAATTGTGGCTCACCTAAGAACCAAGTACTTAATAGCTTTCCTGAGACATTTCAAGATCTTGTTTTCAATTGACTAGGGGAGCAGTCAGCTCATTACGTGCTTTAGAAGGCTTCAGCACAATTTGAGAAGCAGCTTATCGCTCAGTAAATACTATTTGATAAGAATAAAAATAGGTCAATAATTCTAGGTATTCTATGTGTGCCTTCTGCTCTCCCTCTGTTCTAGTTTCAAAGGTACCCAAATACACCTTCCTCTCAATTGCACTTTGAAATCTGGATAAAGAGAGGGGGACTGGCTATTTAGTATCCACTACCTGCTTAGCACTACGGAGTTCTAGGGTCAGAATTTCATCAGCAAAATATATAGGAATAATATTTTATTCTGATGACAAGTGCCAGTTTTATGGGTGTCCTTTTTGAACTGGCAGGCATGTTTATGGCTTAAATTGATCTATCATAAATTTTTTGCCCTCTTATTTCTATCCAGAAGGAGACATATAATTTTATGGCTCTTTTTTTTTGTGTTTCAGTCACATTTCAAATGACTAAAATTTCTTACAATTAAAGAAGTTGAAATAGTTAATGAGAGATGTCAAAATAAGTAATAGATTCTAATCATTCATGCTCATGCCAGAATAAGATAACTTATTCACTTTAGTACTAAAGAGCAAATCCCAAGCTAGTAGAAAACTTGAATGGGTTGGAATGGGGAAAAAGTAGACAGAATTAGCAAAGGCTGAAATGATATGTGTGATAGAACTTGTTAGAATACCTGAGAATACAGATGGAAAAATTGGATAAATAATCTGGGAAAGAGAGGAAAAACTAAAAATGGCTGTAAATTTTAAAAGAGATGCTCTTTATACTGTACAGTCCCTAAACTTACAGATACTTGAGACATGAGGAATTCGAAAAGAGTGACCTTCTGTTCTTTTCTAATGCAAATAAAAATTTCAAATCATATCTATCAGTATAAAATGAAATTTTTAACCAAACAAGAATCTCAGTAAAAATGAAGCTTTGTATTTATTTCTTGAGATACGATGTGAGGAATATTACATACAATATGTGGGATCTATTCTGATGCAGTATCTCCATGTGAATCTCTGATGCTTCAGAGTCGCTAAAGAAGAGAGATGCTTGAGGCTGAGTCTAGTTGTTGCCAATGTTATTATCATCAACAGGGGAGGCATTTTATGTTATCAGAAACTTAATTTAGGAAATGTAGTCAAAAGAACACTGAACTAGCTGGTAACTTTGGAAAATCATTGAAATTTGCCACATTACCACTTTCTGGTCTGTCAAATGAGAGAGTTGGCTTTCCTCAATGACTTCCAAATGTTGGTTGAAGGAACACTGTGGACTGTTAGTCCATGACAATTTTTACTGATCTGTGGCCACACGGGAAGTAAAAGAAGGCAGTGTGATGAGTTTTTCATAAAGCTAAATCTACTGTTTTTAAATTCTGAGACTACTTCTGTTCTACTTTATTACTGTTAGAATGTCCTTTCATTTATGAAATGATAATAAAGGCAGATGGTAATTTTATTTATTAACATCCCTACTTGGCAAAATTAAAAGTATTAATAATTATTAATTATTAATATTCTTACTTGACAACCCTCTGACAGTCCTCCCAGTGTTTTTCAAAAATCTAAAATTCCAGTGCCACTAGATTGCATGATTTCTAAGATTTCACCTACCTCTAGAGTTCAATTGTTTTGTGATTCGAAGTAATGTTGTAGAGAATATGTGGGGACTGGGTGAGGTTGAACCATCTGATGAGAGACAAGTCACTACAGGTTTTTAGGAGTCTGGACCACAGAAATCGTAGAGAGCCCAGGAACCAGGCACAGCCTTGATGCTCTGTTTGACCATCGGATAGAATTAATACACTAGAGAAGCAGGAAAAGCAAGATGGGCTTGTCAAAGAACCATTCTACTAAAACACTAGTAAATAAATCAGCATACAGCGTTCACAGTTTCTGAGATCAAGGGCACCTGGGCATGCCTGACCATATAGACATCCAGTGGCTCCTGGTCCTGAATCTGTTTGTCAGGCATTCTTGTCACGGCCACCTGAAACACAAGAACAAATCTCTATCTTCATGAGAGGAGAATTGTTTTATAAGAAAGACAAGAGGAAAAGAAAAACAAATTTTTTTTAAGTCAAGTATACAATTTTGCTGTCCGTCAGGATATAGAAAGTCACAAGAGACTGTCAATCATGCTCTAACAACAACAACAAAAACAGACCAGATAAGCCACAAAATCATAGTTTTTCTAAATCAATCAGAGTGCTGAGGATGCAAAGAAACCTAAGTGACCTAAACTCCAGAAAGTGAAAATCCCTTTATAAGCAAGAAAAGGCCCCGGGCCATTCTTGTCCCTGGTGGTGCAGTGGAGGAAGGACAAAGGACCTGCCATAGACTAAGGTTTAGGAGAAATCAGCTAAAATTTTAACAAACACTTAGCAGCTACTTGTAGGCTGGCATTACAGATTATATTTCCAAGGAGCCGAAGCCACAGATGAATCTATACCCATTCCCCAGTTCTTTGTCATGCGTCTTCACCTGATGGTGGAGAAAGTACAGACAGCTGAGAAAAATCGATTGAGGATATTCCATATGGTGCAGGAGAGCTGACAAAACCTCCCTTTCTCCCCCAGGCATTCCAGACTTTCAGAAGGCAAGGACTAAGAGAGAGGCAGGAGAGCCCAGTAAGAACCCTCACAAGGATTTCCTGCAGAATGTGATCTCCCTGGGTGCAGAAAACCTGGGGCTGGCCTGGAGATCAAAGCAAACCCCCCGACTATGTAGAGAGCTGATATCCAGGCTCTAGAGCAGAGAGAGCTCCTACAGTCTGGAAAGCTGGCTGTTTGGACGTAAAGCACAAGGATTAATTCTGGGATTTTGTGCGAGCTCACACCCAAAGTGTGCGGGAACAAAGTCCTGACCCTGCTCTCAAAATATTTGAAACTAGCCATGAACTGAGTAAAACTAAAGCTGCCCGAAAGCCTGGACTCAGGTTAACAACAGATCAGATTGGCTCATCT